TGCTTGGGATAATAAGTCCGTTTTAACTCCATAAAAAAAAATTAATGAATTAAATTTGTTGATGTAAGCTTTTTGTGTGGCGGTTCAAGTATTTCTAGTCACACAAATACGTATTTCTAAGCTTCTTCCTAAGAGAAAATGTTTTATATTAACGTCTTTAAATTTCAGATTTGTTTCGAAAGCGGAGTACAACGAGCACGGCTCCATTATTTGGAAGAAGAAATTCTTCCATTTTCTTGAAACATAGTTTTTGTTGTTTTGTTCAAAACTCATTTTGATGATGATCTCATTACCATTGTTATATTGAAGAAGAAACTTTTAACAATGTTGAATTCAACTTCATGTATTATTCATGAAAATATTTTCCTGAACTTTTCATTTTCTTCCAAATTTAGGTTTTACTTTTCTTGGAAGTTGAAATTGACATTTCTTAGATAACATCGGTGACACTGCAGTAAGAAGATCTGCATGAAAATATGTGTTCTGCAAACATAACTTGAGTCATATCTTTTTTCATTCGCAAAAATGCGTCGTAGAATCGAAGAAGTTAGGCTAATAATGAATTGATTGGTTTCTGATTTTCTGAAATTGCTTATCTCCTGGGATGAGACTATTCTTTTTTCTCCTATCGCTTTACAAACTCAGTATTAAAAGTTCTAATTCTCGGTGTTTGAGTACCTGATAGTGTATTCGTATGTCAGGCTGGTTTTGTCTTCTCTGCAGTGAACGTCCAAACTTTCATGGTGGATTTCGAATATTTCAGGAAATAGTCTGCTGTTGAATAGTGCTTGCTTCCAACTTAGTTGGTTCTTATACTGCAGTTTTATCTTCAAATATGTCAGCAGGACCTATTTTGGAGAGGAATCAGGGTAAGTGAATGTGATTTTTCTCAAAATGCATCACGATCGTTCTCGTTTATTAAAAAGCTGATGATATGTTTTTCTTATTCTCACTCTGCTATATCGAAATGCATATTAGTGCTGTTTCTGAGCAAAAATTTTTGAATTGTATCTATTAATTCAATGCATTCAAAACATGTTATCTAATTTTTGTGTTTTCATTGCAAATTACTGCAGTTGCACTGTTTTTCAATGGATTGTGAAAGAGATGTAGCTATTATTTTTTCTATATAAAATGTGATTCTAGATGCCACAATTTACGTTGGTGGTTTGGATGAGAAAGTGACCGATGCAATTTTATGGGAGCTGTTTGTGCAAGCAGGACCGGTTGTATCAGTGAATATGCCGAAAGATCGAGTGACTAGCTCACATCAAGGGTATTTCACTTTTCAATTTAGAATCTGATATCAGATCTCAGTGCACACATTTAAATTTGCATAGATTTTGATTTACTTTGACTTGACGCGAATTTCTCTTATTTTTTTTTTACCTTTACCAAAATTATTTGTTTATTAGCACTTACGTGGATGAGTTTTTGATTTCAGCTTTGGTTTTATTGAATTCATGGGTGAAGAAGATGCTGATTATGCAATCAAGATTATGAACATGATAAAATTATATGGGAAACCTATAAAGGTTGTTAAAATTAAATATGAAAATTATTCATTAATGTACTCAGATTGAAGAATCACTGGACCCAACTATGTTTTTTTGGAAAGTGTAATTTGAATTGCACGGCAATGCATCACTTCAATAACAGTATAACTGAAATCTAACTAGATTTTTCACAAAAAACTTAAGCTGTTCTTTGTTCATGCCTGCTCTCTTGTTTGATATCTTCCACTGATTTCGATGTACAGTTAGTCTATAGTTAAGATAATTTAGACTGTTGAAATTAAATAGTTGAAAATAATTTTTCCAGGTAAATAAAGCCTCAGCCCATGAAAAAAATATGGATGTTGGCGCAAATGTATTCGTTGGCAATTTAGATCCAGAAGTGGATGAGAAATTACTTTTTGATACATTCAGTGCATTTGGAGTTATTTTGCAGGTCTTTTTTCTTATCTCAACTAATTGATCTAATCAGCGCACGCCTTGCTTAGTTGATCTGTTTTCCATAAAATTTCATCATATGCAGGTAGGGGAAAGTTCTTTTCCTACGTTATCCGGAAAAGAAGATGAATTCAGCTCTAAAATTTTTCTTCGATATTTTATTATACACCGTTAGGGATGTTGTTTTTTAAGTTTCTATCCATTGTGATAGTCATTTTTCAGGTCCCAAAAATAATGCGTGACGCTGAGACGGGTAATAGTAAAGGTTTTGCATTTGTGAATTTTGCATCATTCGAAGCATCAGATTCAGCTATTGAAGCCATGAATGGGCAGTTTCTTTGTAATCGAGCTATCACTGTGAGTTATGCATTCAAAAAAGATACGAAGGTTTGTTTTTTTTTTTGTTTTGATTTTGGTGCTTTCTCCGTTTTATGGAGGTGAATCTATTACGCACTACTTCAACGTTATGAATTAGTTTTTACTTATGAAATCTTGGCGTAGAGAACAGAGTACTAGTACTCTACAAAAATTTGATTTGGTTTTATTTACTAAAGAAAAGGATTTTCAAAACTTCTTTATTAACACTTCCCATTTTTAATATCCTAGATAATTAAAGCTAATTTTTTATCAGGAGCTGAAAGAGTACATTCAACAATGTTGGATTTTTGTGTTAATTAGGAATTGTTGAAACTAATAGTCTTCTGGTTTCAATTTTTGTCAAAACTTCAGGGTGAACGACACGGTACTGCTGCAGAGCGAATGTTAGCTGCGCAGAATCCTTTGTTTCCTTCAGACAAACCAAATCAAATATTTTCTGATGGAAAATTGCCGCTTGCACCTGTGCTTCATCCACCACCGCCAGGTCCTCCAATACCTCCACCGATGATTCCACCAATGGCTGGACCACCGCCTGCAATCTTCCCCCCACCGCCACCACCTATGCCTACACCTGGCGCTACACCGATTCCACCACCACCTCCACCGCCTGCCCCACCAACACCACTCGGTACTCCCAGACCACCACCGCCAATGAGTGGTGAGTGTTTGATAGTTTTTTTAGGTTTTCATTGTATTCCATCTATTTTATATAATTTTTTAGTAAAATTGAAGGGACGTCACTTAAATGAGTGAATTATTTGACAACTTTTAAATTTAAAAGCTAAAAACCTTCACAAATTGACATTGATTGCCTTTCATTCCTCCGCAATAACTGTCAACTGATTGAAATTTTCAGCTCCATTACCAATGTGGGGAATGCCGCCGCCACCACCGATAACACCAGGGATGCGACCGCCAGCAACACCAACGCCGACGCCACCTCCACCACCTCCCCCACGAGGATTTCCTCGAATACCACCACCATTTCCTCCTATGCAGGGTCGTGCTCCATTCCCTCCACCACCCCCTCCCTCAGTACGAATGATGCGCCCTCCACCGCCTCCAATCATGCGTCCTTCTCGACCACCACCTCCTCCGTCATCTGTTCCGGCACCCACATCGTCATGAATTTTTAGATGATTTTTCTTTTGATCTGTTGGCCATTTCAGAATGTTGATTCCAAAGATTTTGCAGCACATGGCTTACTCATCATTCTAACTTTTCTTCCATCGTAACTTTAAGTTTGTTATTCGACGTTTCATTGTTATTTAGTTTTCATAGAAAGGCTAAATTAAGACTGTCTCTTTAAAGAACCTTTTCACTAAACCAGATTATACTGAAAGGCGAACTTCATGGCTGATCAACATCTTATTCATTATTTCCATGATTTTTTAATTATTTATCCACTATGGCTGTTTAGTTATCCTTGTATTAAATGATGTTCTAGTTCTTCTTTACATACGCCATCAAGTAAAGACAATCTTTCTACTACGTTTCCCCTCATTTTTTCCCAATTCTTAAAAAAATTTCGTAGAATTATCAATTTGCTGACTTTGCATTGATCATTAATTTTGCCTGACGCGAACATATTCATATTTATATACTTCGTCTAAAATATATATGAATAAAATGGCTCTATGATTAAAGCGCTTATTTGCAGACTTTAGAAGATCTGAAATTCGTAGATTTTACAGTAACTCATTTATATTCTTTAGACTCGCTGATTCTCATAAAAACCGTTAATTCCTTAATGAATGCGTCATCAACACAAAGAGAATTTTGTAGACCGAATTAACTTGAAAAATGAAAGTAACATTTGTTTATCGAATCAGTTCTGTTTAATTTCAATGCAGTGAGATTAACAATTTATTCGGTTAAATAATGTGAGTGATTTCGATCTGTTTAAAGTTGAATTGTACTACAGCTGCTTGGCACTTTTATCATCGCTTTCCATCTTTTTTGAAGTTTAAATTAATAATACTGTTGCAAATTGTACCTCAGTCATTCTTGTCTTTTACGTTATTACCACTTAATAAACAGAATACTTGTTGTTTGTTCTAGTCTACGGATGACTTGCTTGTAGAACAAAGATAATTTTGCACTCCTTAGTTGCTGGTCGTTAAATGGTGGTTAAATTTATGAGTTCTTATTCATTTGAATAAGAAAAACAGAAGGAAAGAAGAGAAGATGAAGAGATTTGAGAGGTGAAAGACATCCCTGTGGTCACTAATGGTTTATCGTGGATATTTCAAGTCGAGTTCTCTCATCTATCTTCCTTATCATTCTAATAATCACTACTATTGACAACAGCTTATGAAATTTCAAAGTAAAAGGGAGATGAGTTGATGGAATGATGCAGATGTTGCTGTTTCATTTCATACGGCAGACAAATGTTTGGAGTGAGACAAAGGCTGAGTTTTAATTGATAATCGATTTCACCACAATCATACAATAAATAGCAAGTCTTCCTTTTGCACATCATTACCTGCATTTGTGCTCCTTTTAATCATACTGATAACGTCGAGCTTTATTGATAAGCTTATTGAAACCAAACATTGCTGCTTCCGGAAAGTAATGCTTTGCTACTAAATCGGCGTAAAATTTCACTGATTGCTTATTCCAATCTGAGTATCATAGTTTACGAGAAACCTCCAAAATTTACTGTATCGTATGCAGATTTTGAAAAAGATTTGTTTCCTTCTGATTTTTCCGCTCCTCTTAATTAGTGCTGATGACTTCTTGGAAGAAGAAATACAGTTGGAGGATAAGAAAGATACAGATAATGTATTGGGAGCATTTGTTACTGAATTTTTCGCTGATTCACAATGGCAGCTAATCGTTGATCTTGATTTCTTCAAAACGTTATTTCTTCGTCCAACTAACAAATTTGAGAAAGCATTGAAATCAGGTGATGAATCTTACATCGAACGGTTGCTTACTTTGCTGGAACCATTAAAGGTATTTTTCTTCAACCTTTTTCTGTTTCATTTCTTTGGTTTTTATTAATTCATCAGTAATCGATTAATTCCATCTCATAATTCATTCCTTCGGTTATTCATTTGTACATTTATCATATCTTGAGCTATTTGCTCACAATAAGAAAAGATATGATAAATATACAAATGAATAACCGATGGAATGATTTATGTTTATTGAAAATCAAATATACAATTTTAACTCCTGGCCTTCTTATCACATCAGGATTGTTGCCGGAAAGATATCTTTATGTTTTGATTTGTTGCTAGTTAGTTTGACAGTTTGTTAAGTGGATCGCTTAAAACGAGTGGCACTGCGAACATTTTTTCTGGCTTACAAAGATATATCTAGTGTTAAAATAGCTGCTGTCTTATGATAGATCGATCTATTTTGGTGGAATGTAGGAAGCACGTGATAGTGATTGTTTATTTAAGAAATTTAAAAGAAGTAGTAAAAGGAATGGCTATGTTCTTGAACTGAAATGTTAGAAATTATGGATTTTCCATTTAAATGCAATACTGTAATATCGGATAACCTTCATCGACATATGTGAAATTTTTAAATGCTACAGCAATCAGTCTCGAAACCTTTTTTATAATTTCCAGGAATATGACGTATCATCACCTTGTCTTGCCGATATAGCATATTTCTTATGGACGGCTATGGATTATACTCGATCTAATGGGCGAAATAGTGACTGTACTAATTGTACTTGTGAATTTCAAATGCGTAATCATCAGAGTTATCAGTGGATTTTTAACGGCATGAATTTACATATTATAATAATTTTGTTGGAGATATTTTTTATCATATTCGTTTCATGCATTTCTATATGATGTCATTCCTCGATAATTGATAACTCTTTCAATTTGCGCTTTACTTTATTTGCGAACTCTAGTTTCGATGTTTCTTTTAATTAACTTTCTCTTTATCTTTTATAGTAATGGATGCAATGGGTAAGGTACCGGCTGGTATCTTAAGCGGCAACAATCTCTGGATTGGGTCTTGGAGTGCATGTCGACGGATTTCAGTTGTCAAAAATCGCCAGCAGTATATTTTCTTACTCTTTAATACTTTCAGTACAGGAATATCCAAACGAACAAGTTTTTTAATTTCAAAAATATGATGATTTTGTCTTAATCTCCTTCATATGAGAAATTTAGAAGATGCAAACAATCAAATGAATTTTATTTAGGCAGAAATGGTCGGGCCAGTATTGTCTGGCTACCTTTCAGCCATACAGTTCTGCTGATCCGTTCAAAAGCATTGGTTCAAGTTTTATTGAGGATCCAGATGAATATTGCAAGTTTGTTCCTATGTCACTTTTACCAAGCTGTCAAGGATTTATATTTGGGTTTTTCCAGTTAGATTTTTTCCTGTCTCTTCCCTTATTCTTGATATATTTTCAATTCAAATTCATTTGGTAAGCTCTATAAATGGGCGAATTTTCCGCATTCACATGCAATTAAAATTCAGAGCAGGAGTTTTCTGAAGATTTTCTAAATTTAGCTTGTCATGAATTTTGAAATTTTATGATCATTCTTTTTAGAAGGCCAAATACTTGGCGCTCAAATGAAACAAATAATGAAAGTAACAAATGCTTTACTTTAATTCCACTTCTCAACTATGGGGTTTGCACACCAGATTCTTGCACGAATTATGATGTAAAGAAAGTTTTCGAATTAGGTCATTTTTTCAATTTTATGATTAATGCAATTATGAGATCTTTGTTTTGGTCTAGAATTCGAATGACCTAACTGAAAATGCTAGCAATAAAGATTAAAAACTCCCAGGTACCAAATGTCATTGTGATGTACTATTATCCAACTACCAGTCATTGCAAAAATCATTAAGCTTAAAGTTCAGCCTTTTCAAGTTTCAGTTTACAAATTAGCTGAAAGTGCGATTGGTCGACAAGTGGTGTGCGATGTGAATATTGTTTGTCATAATAATTTACCTCACTCCCAGCTTTCTCATGATTCGAGCTCACTGATTGTGCTGTAGGTCTATTATTTTGATCTAATTTAAATTACTGTTGGATTAAAATAAAAATCCCAATTTAGGCTATAGTAATTTTTGTTTTAAGTATGCTGGGAGATTTATTTCTATTGGAATAGAATGTTTGATCTTCTACAGATTGCAGAATATCAAATTCTTTTATTTTAATTTTCCATTTATTCTATCCAATATTTATATACCATTTTAAATCTTATAGATTGTTTGAAAATTCATGAATTTTGACAAAGATCAAAAGAGTAAGGAACTTCAAAGGAAAAAAGTTCCATCACAGATGTGATTACACTTGAATATTTATTCATCCTAAAACTTCAAATCTGTTTCAATATGATAAAATAAACTTGTTGCAGATTCTTTATACTCCTTATATTAGTGTTGATGCTTTTCGGCACTCTCTATGATTATCTTGTTTATCAAGCGGAATTAACGAATGGAAATGAGATGTTTAGTAAAAAACAAAGTAGGCTGATTTTGATTTTCCTAAAATTTTTAATTTTTATCTGGACGATTTTGCTACTATCACTTATATTGTCTATTGTGGATCAAAATTCTTCCTAAAATGTTGTTCCTTTTTTCGATTTAATCAGAGTTTTAATCTGCTTTTATAGCAATGAAAAAGCTTTTAATGCCCATAACGGCGCTTAAAGTAAGTAATAAATTGGAGAAAAGGATAACTTGAATTTCTTCTTTCACTTCTTGATTGCTAATAGTTTTTGAAATTTTCTAAGATTAAATTACTTTATAAGCTTTTTTGTATTATTTCAGGTTGGTTCCAAAAAGTATTGTTAGCATTTTCGGTTTACACCAATGGACGAAATATCTTAAAAACTGAAAAAAAAAGTAATCAAATCCATTGCCTTCATGGTACTAGAGTGCTCAGTATGTTCTGGATTATCCTCGGTCATTCATATTACTACATTGTTAGTACTCTAACAGTTGGTATGTTTGATTTTGAAATTCACGTTGTAATGAAAATGTTAAAATTAGAAAACAATTTTTTTGTAAAAGATATGAATCCTACGAGAGTTGCAAACAATATTTAATTAATAGTATTTTGAGGATTAAATTTATAAATAGCAAAATTTTTTGATTTTCATCACATTTATTAAATGAATTCATTTCAGATAATTTATTACCCACAATGATCGCATTTCCGCAGAAATTTTTCAATCTTATCATTGTGCAAGCACCGCTTGCCGTTGATTCATTTTTTTATCTTAGGTTATATTTCTGTTTGTTATAATTATAGATTGTTTTTAGCATTTAATATAAAACTTTTCGAAATTTCAAAGATTTTACATTATTTCGAATTTGTGACTTTTGTTCAGATTCATGTTCAGTTTCGGAAATTCTGTGATGCTTTTGAATTTCATTAAGCGTATTTCAATCATGCGTGTAAATTTTCAGTGGTATGTTAACTTCATATTTGTTTATGGAAAAGTTTAAAGTGGAAGCTGCAAAAGGTCGTTCAATATATTCATTAGATATGTGGTTGCTTTTCTATATTCATCGATATATCCGGTTTGTTATCCTAGTACGAGCACTATGAGTTTACTTGTTAGTTTTTAATCTTCAGCACATTAATCACATTCATTATGATGTTTCTATGCTTATTAAAGACTTACTCCGATATATTTAATGATTATGGTTCTGGATATCACACTGTTGACACATTTCTCCGATGGACCATTTTGGCGGCCAATTGAAGCAAATTATTGTCGCAAAAGTTGGTGGACTAACCTAATTTACATGAATAATTTTTTACTGCAAGATGTTGAAGTTGTAAGTTTTCCATCATAGTATTTCATTTTTATCTATTGTAAGCTCCACTTTCTAAGTAATATCTATCACATCTGCCATTAAAATGCTGTCTATTTATTATATAACCTTTTTTATTCACTGTACGATACTCGATTTGATAAATTATATTTTTGGAATTCACTGGTATGGTAGTTTTTACTTTGGTAGAAAATCGTCCATTCTCTATAAAACTTTCTTCAAAGTTAATGCATTATGAAAACTATAACATTTGGAGTGTATGGGATGGACTTGGTATATGGCTAATGATATGCAATTTCATATATTTTCACCGATACTTCTTATACTTTTGTACAGGTTAGTTAATCATCCATTCAATACAATATAAGAACTACAACATGATCTGTTTGCCATGTGTGGGTCACTTCCAAATATTTAAATCATTTTACATAAAAGCCTTTCCAGTAAAAATCAAATTTGAAGTTAAATTTGTAGAAATCAGCTTGCTGGTATCGTCATTGCGTTATCATTGATCACCGTGTCATCCCTGGTACATTTATTCATCATTCTTGCAAATAACTATCCACCTGCTCCCATACTTACTGCCAAACTACAACTGTGTGTTTCTCCGGATTTTTTATTTAACTTATACCAAATTCTTTATTAGCACCTAATTTTTCGTTCTTTGATAATTTTTTGAGATCATTCAATCGTTTGAAGTTAAGCATAAAGTTAAGCGTAAAGAGCAAATGAAAAGCATCATTATTAAACAAAGCTCAACGAATAAGCTCTTTAATCGACTTTCCGTAAACAGTAATGAGATAATTACAGAGTACAGGATCTGAGCACATATTGGCCGGATGTGTATGTGAAACCATATATTCGTTGCAATCCGTATATAATTGGCATATTGATGGGATACGCATTACATAAATGTGCACTTCGGCCCACATTTTCTAGGGTATTTTTGAATTTGAAAAAAAGGAAATTTCTTTTATCCGAACGTAATTTCACTTTATTTCAAATTTCTTGTATCTCTTTTTTTAGTGGAAAGTAATAGCAGGTTGGGCGCTGTCTACCATTTTTGGACTTTTAGCCGTATTTGGCTTGTATAATTATGCACGTACAGGCGATATATCAGATGCGGTACGTATTATTTATGCTTTATTCGGACGTAATGCATATGCATTAAGTTTAGCATGGGTTACTTTTGCATGCGCTACTGGATATGGAGGTTAGCTTTTAAAAAATATTCAAAGTCTTCCCGCATTTCTAATGTGATAATCGAGCTTTGAATTTTGAATGCTTAGCTTCAGGAACATTTACTTCTTTATGAAATACATACTATAGGGTAATCACAATTTTGAAAGAAAATTACCAATGAATGTGTTAATTTCAGGAGCAGTAAATGATATATTAGGTTGGCGAGCTTGGATACCATTAAGTCGTATAACATTTTGTGCATATCTCATTCATCCTATTCTACTTCAAATTTATTATTTAAGTCGACCACATGCTTTCCATTTCACTACCGTTTATCAGATGGCATGTTCTTCAATAACTTTTGTTTTTTTGCTTTCCAAAAAAATATAAAAATATCACATTACTGATATTTTGTAATCAAAAAGATTTATATGATAGGTGATGTGAAAGTTCCACTTGCCCTAATTATAATTTAGAAGATCGATAACGATTGAGTCATATCAAAGCATTATGATTTATTTCATAATCTTGAAGTAACTTGTGGAAGTGCTAATGTGCTTTTCAGTAGAGGCCAATTCATTCGAATTACTGAATATCATGAACCTATATATTTTCATTCTTTTTTTAGCTCTACCAGTTTGCTATAGCCGTTGCATTGGCATATTTTACGGGATTGTTCTTAAGCTTAGCATTCGAGGTACCCGTGTTTAACTTGGAAACTCTGTTGATCGATAAAATTATGGAAAAAATAAAGGCACGTCAACATCGGAAACCACCACGGGTAAAAGTAGAATTTGGTATGATGAATAATGATGATGCAGACGATATAGCTTTAAAGGAAACAATAATGAAATCATATACTGATGATGTTGCTTTAAGTGAAAAATAATCCACTCAATCATAAAAATTTTAAAATTTCGAATTAATGGATTTAATATTTTATTTTATTTACTTGTTTCAAAACTGTATTTGATTTTACTTTCTCTGTAATACTAAGCTCTAAATTTCAATTGCTTTTGCATATTACTTAAGTTTAACAATAAAGCTAGGTAATGAATAATTGCCAAGACTTAGGAGAATTCGGAATAGTTATGCATAAAATAATCATACACATTATACCTATTCATGTTATAATCTCAAGCTGTTTGCAAATTTGATTTACATTTCAAAATTCCGACTTTTTAATTTCGAATTTGGCTTTCTCAAAAATATTTAACTTTGAATGAAAGTTGCTAGGCTTAATTCTAAACTGCCTTTTTTAAATGATCAAAATGTTTTGCTATCACTACATATATGTTTTAAATTTTTGATGTCAATCAAATTTCCTCTGGTGTTTCTTAGCCGTTCGTTTATTCTTCTCATCTAACCTTGATGACCTTTGATTTCATTCAACATCTCATCAATTATACCAATTATATTTCTTCTTGTTTTCCATATATAAAAATTTGTGTTAAGTTCAATTAATTTGAAATGAAAATGAAAAAAATATTTGATTTGAAATTTCACGCTAATGCATTTCCAAATATTACAAATACCTCTCAATTATACGAAAACTATTCTCTGAAACATAAATATCCGAATTTTCAAGCGATCTTTCGGCGATCACTTAATTAATGCACAGTGCAAATTTATTTTGTACCAATTGCTATTTGAAATTTAAGAGAGAATTATTTTAATTTTGGTTAAGAACATTTCCACTGGAGGAGGGGTAATGAATTTATTACTTGATAAAATCATTCGGTAATGTTATTTTTGATCACTGCAATCTAATAATCGTTTGCCACTCTATCCGAACATACTTTTAAAATAGTGCTCCGAATATAATTTAAAAAAATTGAGGCATAGCAACAGGATGATTAGTGACAAATAAAATGGAATTTAAGCGGAACAGGTATTATCCAACCTATTGTAATAATAGTTCCAATCCATTAAAATTGTCTCTCATATTTTAATTACTATTTTTCTGGTTGCTGTTATTAGTACGGTGTACGTTCGAATCGGAACAACAACTCTATTCAGAACTATTACAGTATATTCATGGTACTACCGGAATGCAGCAATTCTCTTTATAAAAAGATTGCTTTTTGTTTTAAAAATTTTTTTGTTTAACTTCTCTGAATCACACTCCATACCCCAACTTTTGAATTTTGCAGTGATGAGAAAATTACCGTTATGCTGAATTAAAATAGAATATTTGAAGTTCTATTTTGTTTTATCGTCTAATTTATTATAGTTATTCCTTTCATCCAATTTACATATTGTGAAAGGCAAACAGTTATTTTGGGTCAAACTATAACTGCATAGCATTAAGCCTTTTTGAAATAATTTAATTAGGCTTGACCAAAGATATCTGTTAGATTCATGTGTTTATTGAATTCAAAAGATTCTGATGACAGCTTCTGTGTATTCCTTCAATTGTTGAAATTTTCAATCTTTACAAAATTTACTACTTATATATAATGATAATAGTCGAATGTTTTTATTCATAATACTGATGATTGAAATATTGATGAAAAGATGAATTTTATTCCTTTCAACTTACATTCCTTTAACTGATTAATAATATCATATATATCAGTTTCAATCAAATTACTGTAATTTAAATTAAGCTTTAATTATCAACCTGTTAACATCAAGCATGCTACGTATAGTACATAGATAATTATTTGATGAAATTTTTGCATAAGCTTTTAAAAGTCACTAAGCACTTTTGATGGTAGTGATATTATATAAACATCGTTGTAAACCTCTACGTTAAAAAAGAATCACGCATGATTTAAATTTCTTTCTTTCTTTAGATCGAATATATATTTAGAAGAGTTGTAAAAGAATGATGTGTTTAATTATGAGATTTTTAATTTGAATTCACACATTTATTATACTGTACTGTATAAGGCATTTCTTTTGCACTGAAATTTAAATGAGTTTAAGTAATGAGTATCTTAAGTTTGTAGAAGTCTAGAAGTTTTCATAAATGAAGTTTGATTTTAGTACAGAATAAAAAAATGATGTTGCAAATACATCCATCGATAAATGAAGCTCCAGCAAAAATAACCACAGGTGAATTTACCTGCCATATGATTTAATAATTTATTCATGCTCTTTATGAGTCAGAGATTAAATTATACATTTCAAATAATTTTATAAAGCTATATTTTTTAACTATTCATAAATAACCTGCAAAAAATGAACATTTGATAGATTTGAATATAATTTTAACAACTTAGAGACTATAAATTAAATTTTTGAGTTGGGAAAAAAAAAGTATTTTTTTAATTACACTTTTATTGTAAGGTAAAAAGTTGACTGTTATTGAATGTTATAAAATTGCTGACAGGATTAGTTTTCCTAGTGAAGAGCAATTTTGAACAAATATTAAATGAGCAACAGGTATTTAATAATAGGTAAGTAATAAGAAAAAATTGACATTAAAGAAAAACGTATTTAAAATATTCCAAGTCATAATAAAGCTTTTCCCGTACCTCCCAAATATGTATTATTTCATTAAATTAATTATTGAATTGAAAATTATGAGTAATGAAAATAAATTTTTATTGATGGAGAATAATTTTATAGATGGAAATGTGAATGATGAACGTAGTAGTGGACAAGTAAATTTTGCTAATACCTATGCGATACCTGGATCGGAGGAACGAAATTTAAGTTTGAGTAATATGAAAAAAGTTCGTGCATTCTTATTCCTTCTCAATACAAGATATTCAAAGTAATAGCATTTTGTTTCCACAATAATAACAACAAAGTTTTATTTCATATCTTCAAATGTATTTCTAATAATTCAAAACAAAAGAAATCTATCATAGAGTTTGAACAGACTATCTAATTCAAATTACCACAATATAATTTTGATACTCAAATATTCCTCTTCAAACAAATAAGCTTAGATTTCATTGTTTCAGGCTAATTTAGGAGTGATGCTAGGTGTATATTTACCAACAATTCAACATATCCTTGGAATAACAATGTTTATCCGATTAGCATGGGTGGTTGGAATAGCTGGCATAGTAGATACAATGATTTTATTACTACTTTGCTGTTTATGTGTAAGTATGATCTTTTTTTATACACCCTAATCTAATGATTCGTAATTTAAATTCGATGGTAAAAAATGAAAATGTATGAAATTTAAGTGATCATAAAGGGCATATAGATTATCAAAACGCGATATTATATTTGATGAAGGATATACGGAAACTATTAAAATATAATATTATACTTAATTTTGAAATAATTCATATCGTTGATATTTTAAGTGCTAAAAAGGGAATCACAAAATGTTTGGACTGATATTAGCCTTTAGTGATATTTCATTAATTCATTAAATTATTGATGAAATTCCATTACAGACATTGTTGACAAGTATTTCATTATCAGCCGTTGCAACAAATGGTATTGTCGAAAGCGGAGGTGTTTATTTTATGATTTCAAGAAATTTAGGAGCGGAATTTGGCAGTGCCGTAGGTATTTTGTTCTATTTGGCAAATACAGTTGCATCATCGATGTATCTAATTGGCGGAATTGAAGTGATGCTGGTAAAATCTTCATATGATTATCCTTTACCCTTTAATTTAATTCATTTTACAATGAAGCATTATTTCAAATAATAATAATTTCATACTGATTGAATTAGTAATTGATGACAATGATAACAATGAGAATAATAATAATTTCATACTGATTAAATTAATAATTGATAACAATGATAACAATGAGAATAATAATAATTTTATACTGATTAAATTAATAATTGATAAAAATGATAACAATGATTCCTCAATTCCTCAAAATAAAAGATCGCTTCTTTTTTCAAACTTTTAAATTTCTTTTCAGCTCTACATTTTTCCATCTTTAACTATTGGTGGTAGTGATGTACACTTCGATACGGGTTCGATTTTTTTTCAAAGATTTTTTAAGCATTTGAATAAAAAATGTGATATCTAGCAACAGTTTGAAATCTTTATTAGTTTTCTTTAAATTTCAAGCAGATTTTTTTGTTGTGAAATTTTCAGGTATGTGGGGAATGATGTCACATAATTATCGTATTTACGGTTCAATACTTCTTTTATTGGAAGCGATAGTTGTCGCTATGGGTGTACGATTTGTGCAACTGCTTGCACCAGTTTGTTTTTTTAAAAAGTTTTTGAAACTTTTTAAACATTTCCGCCAAAAATAATTTTTGGTGCTTTCTGAACATTTCTGTCAAGAAAAATATGAAAATTAATTATTAATTATTAATCATGAAAATTAATAATTAATTAATTAATATTAATTAATTAATTTTTTTAATTTAATAAATAATTAATTAATAATTAAATTAATTAATATTAATATTAATTATTAATTTTAATTAATATTAATTTTACCTTATTTTTTTACTGGTAATAATTAATTCCTTCGGTTAGTGCCTTCCGAATTTGCCTAAAAATTTCTTATTGCCATCTATAGGTATCTTTATTCGCCGTAATTGTTTCTATACTAGCGTGCTTTGCGGGTGGTATCGAAAAAGCGATTCATCACAACGGTCAGCAGTATGTTTTCATCAATTTTTATTTTCAATCAATTAGTATTTCTATTCATTAGCATAATACCTCATTATCTTTGAACTAGCTGATGCTATCTAGTTCAACAATGTTAAATTGCAGTGTATGTATGCTGAACGAACAACTTCTTCAATCACAAATATTTTTTCCGCATGGCGCCGATTTGTCTACACTTTGCAAGCGATGTGTTAAATCCGAAGAGTACTTCTTATTTTCTATTATCATAATAACAGATGTTAATAGTTGGTGATAATTGTGATTACTTTTATCATCTGTAAATTTGTTCCGTCTTAATTGAGATGATTTACAAATTTCAGTATATCAGATGACTTCTGCAACAGTACTACGGCATTCTTTTGCACACATTTCACTGCATCAACATTAACATGTACCAATGCATTTCCTGGCATCAATGCACATACTTTCTATGGTAATTATGTATTTCATTTAAAATTCAAAACAGACAACTAAATCTAACTATGTCGCATTTCTAACTATATTTCGAACTAATCTAACTATGTTGTGTTACAGTTTCTACTCGCTTATATTTACATTTTTAATAGAACCGTTTAAAACATATTTGTATTTGAAGTTTTTAGAAACTTCAAAGAACGAAAAAATCTGAAGAGAGAGATAAGTGAAAGGCTATCTCACTTAGAATGGATAATCATTGAAGTTAGCACATGTTCATTGACTAATTATAAGCTGCAGATAACATGAAACGAATGTATATGGAAGCGGGCGAATCTTATCCTAATGTAGCGGCTGATGATGTCGGTATAGAAGTTTCTCAGGATTTTCGTACAAGCTTTTTCATCTTAATTGCTATTTATTTCCCAGCTGTTACTGGTATTATGACGGGGACAAATATGAGTGGTTGGTTTTTTACATGATTTGATGTATAGAATATCAATATTTCAAACACTCTATGAAGATCTACTGTTCTTTGATTCGTATCTAGTAAAGTAACGGCGAAATGGGTATATTAAGTGGAATATAAGTTAGCAATGCGTGACAACACAGGATAGAAAGTATTAAAGTCATAACAACTCCGCATCTAATAATCATCAACTGCTAAGATAGCGTTCTGTAGAATGTTCGTTTCGAAAATATCAGTCTCATCTGTTGTCCACGATTGAATTATGTTGCGATTTCCAATAGCAGAATGCTTTTAACACTTATAATTTACCGAAATCCTAAACGATGCAAAGATGAAAAGGAAGTAACTTCCAGGCCTTTTTCTGAGATTTATTAATTTCAAGACTTTACTTCCTCAGCAATGCACAATAACTATGCGAATAATTGAAAAGTAGAGAAGAAATTTTAGGTGACTTAAAAGATCCGCAAAAGTCAATTCCTTGTGGAACAATTGCTGCAACATTAACAACATCCGCAATTTATTACGCATTGGCTTTGCTATTTGGTGCTTCAATTACTGGACCGGTTTTACGTGACAAGTTATTATTTTTCACGCTTATTTGATCAATTCATATGTCTCATATTACTCTTAATGGAATCAAAAATAATAACAATAATAAATAATAATCATAAGTGATGATGATAATAATAAATAATAATGATAAATAATAATTTATAATTATAATATATTTTAGATATGATTGTAATTAGAAGAATTAAAATCAATAAACGATTCATAAATTACAGATATGGACGAAGCTTGGATAGTTCGATGATTGTAGCATTGTTATCTTGGCCATCACCATGGATCGTTATCATTGGTACTTTCTTGTCCACATTTGGTGCTGCTTTACAGTGTTTGTGCAGTATGTTGTTGAATTTTTAACTAATATAATAGAAATTTTACTAATGTTGTAAAAAATGATGAAATTATGCTATGATAGAAATAACGGAAAGGTTAGATAGATGGAATAATAGAAATTCATTAGAACTATAAAGCTTTTCTTTGCGAAATATTTTCATGAATTAAAATAAGTATTGAAAGTATTAGATAAATATAATAATTTGTGAATGTTATTTATCAAAATGAAAATCTCCCAGGTATTTAGCATATCTTTTGTTGTTCGTTTGATGGTTATAATAATATGTCGAATTTTAGAAGTCTATGATACCCTTTTGATTCATATTTTATTATCGTAGAAAGTGATAGTAGTATGATAGAGAATGAATTAGTGATTATAAAAAAAGAGAAATTTTAAAAAACTGGACTGTAACAAATTCATCAGATCGATATTGCAATATTGGGCTCTTTAAAAATTAAAAAGAATCGATACCGATTAAATTCAATGCATCTAAAAATATTTCTTCATTTTAAAACTATGTGTTATTGTTGATCTAACTTTTTGATATGTCTGTTGAATTTATAATATTTGTCATGGTATCATATTTTTTCATAAGTTTTGGTACTATTGCAGGTGCGCCACGCTTATTACAATCAATTGCTAAAGATGATGTTATACCAGCACTGGCACCGTTTTCCAAAGTTACAAGAACTAATGAACCATTTCTTGGGTAAGTAACTCTTTCAAGTTTTCCGGCAAGGTATTGCATTATCACGAAAAATGAAGCATGAAGGATATCTTGGAATAACAGTTGGAAATAGTTCTTTTTAATTGGTTGAATTATAAAGAACTAAATAATTTGACACTAAACATTTTCAGACTTATTACTCTATGAACGTTTCCTAATTTTCAATATCAATTTAATTATCAATTTAAGCTTACTGGTAACAACACTGATAGCGGAATTTGCTATATTACTTGGTGCAGTGGATAAAATAGCTGAAATATTGGATTTTTTCTTCTTGATGTGTTACGCATTTGTGAATTTAATTTGCGCGTTACATTCATTATTGAAAGTACCAAATTGGAGACCGCGATTCCGTTACTATCACTGGTATCATTTATTATCTCTTTTCTAGTATCACATAGCATGACTATTTCTGTTGTTCCTAAATAACTTTTGAATTTAAATTGAATGAAAGAATCACAGATAGGAAAATTGTAAACTTTATGAGCTTGCAATGCCAGTTTTGCATATTAAATCATTCTATCAAAATTTATCTTATCGGAATAGTTCGAAATTGCTTAAAACTTCTTTAGATCGGATAGTTTTAATAATGATTATCAGTATTTTCAGGTCTTTATCATTAATTGGTGCAGCTCTGTGTTTCTTTATAATGTTCGCATCATGTTGGCAGTATGCAGTATTTTCAATCCTTTTAACTTTTGCTATTTACAAATATGTGGAATGGAAAGGGTAAAGATAATTTATCTTCACAGAATTAAATAATCAATGGATAAATCGATATAAATAAATAATCAATAGATGCGGTAATTTTGTAAATTAAATTTGTCGTTTGTCAAAAAATAAAATTAAAATTTTTGTAGAGCTAAAAAAGAATGGGGTGATGGAATACGAGGTTTAGCGTTATCAACAGCGCAATATAGTTTACTGAAAGTTGAGGACAAAGATCCACATCCGAAAAACTGGCGGTAAGCAAAGAGGAGAAGATAAAATATTTAAAATGAGAAGTATGATATGTATAAAATAGATGTAAAATGGATGATTACAACTAGTAATCAAATAAACAAATAAGAAATTAATAAGTAAAGAAATGAGTTATCAAAAGAAAATTCATTTGGTGAATTTTTTAAAACCACTTTTTAGACCACAATTGCTTGTTCTTGTGTATGATACTTGGTCCAAAGGTATCATTGACAAACGGAATGTTAATTTAATTAATTTGGCTGGGCAGCTAAAAGCAGGGCGCGGTTTAGCTATTGTGATAGCACTCATAAAAGGTTCTGTTTGGAGTTATGCTGATCGACAGAAAGCTGAAGAGGTGAATTTAATAGCTCTAATCTTCAACATTACATCTTTGAAACGAGATGTTAGAATTGTTTCCAATATGTTAAAAAGAACACTAATTTTAAGATCAAGGAAAGTATTCAGCAACATATGTTTCGAGTTCATTTACGTGGTTTCAGCAAAACGTTACTTTTTGATGAAAATCAGGTAAATTGATAGTTTTCAGTAAAAGTTTGAGGAAATATTAACTTACTGTTTTATTTGTAAAATTTGGTTTTGATTAAGATATTTGCAATTTTAGTTGAGTAAACATTCTTCGATTTCTTTTTCTTATGCTTCGGGTATCTAAGAAAGTATAGTTAAGTATGTTGAAGATTTGGAAGGATAGCTTAAACCATTTAAACCTTTCTTAAAAGTCCTTCATACTTTTGTTGTCTGAAAATAAATAAAGGAAATGGCATATGATACGCAATTTTTTTAGATAAGCGGATGTTTTACGACATTGTTTCAAAGTATTGGTATCGGTGGTCTGAAACCAAATACTGTATTAATGAATTGGCCTGAAAGAGAAGAGGAAAATGCAATTTTTGCCGGTATAAATGTTTTGCAAAAAAAACGACTTCCGGTTTTGTATTTACATTTATTTATTTTACTTTTAGGAGGAAAGAGTAGTTTGTGGTTTATTTATTTTATAGAAAATGAAAACACTTATTAAAACATTCGAAATAAATGAAAAGCACTAATTAGTTATATGCTATCGAAATTTTCATTTTTTTTAATTTAGTTGAGTTAGTTGAAGCTGTAGCAAATGATGAATGTATCATGTTGGCTAAAGGTATCACGGCATTTTTATCATCATCCAATGATCGTCTAACGGGTTACATCGATATCTGGTGGATTTTGCATGATAGTAATCTACTTATGTTAACTGCATTTCTTCTCAAACAACATAAGGTATCATCGTATTTCAGAATTATCTTTTATAGCATCAAAGTTATTCGTCCATATCATTTGTCACTTAATGTTATTTGCATAGTAGGAATAGGAGTTGAAACTCTGTGAATTATAAGTACAAATAATTTATTGATTGCAAAATGATTAGAATAAACCTGTAATGAATTATCAGTTTTCAGATATGGCGAGGATGTAAATTGAGAATTTTTGCAATTGCTGAAATACCGGGAAAGAATGTTGAATTAAAAACAATGTTGCAAAAATATATTTATATGTTACGTATCGATGCAACAGTCTTTGTAGATTTTTCCTAATTTTATCAATTTTTCATTTCTGTTTTTTAAATTAAAGGCAATTATAGAATTGTGAAAATTTTGCAATCTAATTATTCAATAATTTCAAATTTTGAATTTTCTAAATTTCTTTTACCATATATTCATCTAATAAATCATGCATTATGCAAAATATTTAGATAGTAAATGACGAAGTGAATCAGAGTGATGATTCATTACCGGAAACTTCGAATGGACAATCTCGAAATGTTGCTGCTGCAGTTATGGTTAGCTTTATTTCTGTGATAAGAAAAACTACTCTCAAATATTCTTTCACTTATTTAGGAGAATGCTTGCAATCGCTGCATTAGCTAATCTAACTATGATGACAAAATGATAGTTCTACTACATTAGCTGATTTAACTATGACAAAAATGACAGTTCTACTACATTAGCTGATTTAACTATGATAAAATGAGTGTTCTACTACATTAGCTGATTTAACTATGACAAAATGACAGTTCTACTACATTAGCTGATTTAACTATAACAAAATGATAGTTCTACTACATTAGCTGATTTAACTATGACAAAATGATAGTTCTACTACATTAGCTGATTTAACTATACAAAATGATAGTTCTACTGCATTAGCTGATTTAACTATGACAAAATGACAGTTCTATTACACCAATGACATTCGCTAGAATATCCCAATCTTATTAGTAAATGCTTTTGACTATGATTGAGCAAAGAAAACCTATAATGGAAAGAATAATTTGCTGGTTGATAAAATCTGTAAGAACGAATTTCTTCCGTAAAAAAATTTCGTCCTAAAAATTAAGGTGCGAAAATAAATTGAAAATAAAATGTTTTCTAATTATATTCATAAATTCTCGTTGTTTTCAGATTACCATTAAAGAAAGAGCATTTGTCCACAATAACAACAAATTTGTTGAAAGTTCGTTTTTTCTGCATTTTTTTAAACAATTTTTTGCAATATTGTTTGTGTCTTCTGTTGTTTACTTTTGTTGACAGTCCTCAAATTGTCATTTATCTCTTTACAATTTCATAAATTCGTTTTTCTTCCTGTTTACTCATCACTATTTTATTTATTTGATCATTCAACACTATCACATTCTTTAATTATTTTTCTATTTGTGTTTTGCATATTTACTATTTACCTTTACTTTTCTTTTGCACTTTAAAAAAGTTAACTCCTCTCATTTCATTACTTTCATTTATAAAAAAGAAAAACTTATTTTAAAATGCTATTATTGTTTAGTAAATCAAATACAAATTTAAGATGCTGCTGGTGATAATAACACAATACAAACAACAACAACAACAACAGCTTTTATCCAGTAAGTGATCATGCATTTTTCTTTAATTTTAAATTTAACTATCAATATTTGTCCTGGAAAAATAATTGTTTAAAAACTGATGAGCAATTATTTTCAGGAATAGCTTGTCTTCATTTTTAAAAGGCTATTTATCTGTTTACAATCAAGGAGAAGACGATTTTCTTGACGATGAAAATTGGAGGGTAATTAACATATCATTAAAAATATTCTTCAAGAATATGCTGTATAAAAATAAATTTTTTTCATTTTCATTAAACAGATGATAAAACTAAACAAAATTTCACGAAGGATAGAAAATGATATAATTAAATGATATAATCATTAAATGGTATAATCATCTAAAAGAATACATTAAGTTGATTTATTCTCTTTCAAATAGTAATAGATAATTTTTCTATATCTTCTGATCTAAAAGATTCTCTCAAATTATTCAAAGTTATTAAAAATATTTCTTCAGGCCTTTTATTTTTCAGAAAAGTTTGGAAACAATAAAACGTCTCAATGATGTTGTTGTGAGAAATTCGAAAGATTCACAATTGGTCCTTCTAAGTCTTCCTCGTCCACCGATCAGTAAAGAAAAAATACTGTCACACTATATGCTTTACATCGATTTACTCACTTTGAATCTTCAACGAGTTCTTCTCATTTGTGGTAGTGGCAAAGAAGTTGTTACAATCAATTCCTGAGTGATAAAGTATTGATGGGATATTGGTTCAAGTTTGGAAGCTCGATTTCGTGCCAACCTCGCATTTTCTTTTCATTTTCCTTTCTAATCGTTCCTCTATCTATACGAGAGATATTTACTATTTAACATTATATAATATTAATGAACCAATATCAGAGAATAGTCTGAAAATCACCGTTTTGCAACTGAACTCGAATAGATACTAAAATTTCAGCAGTAATAACTTGTTGAATGTCTCTTTAACTTCTACTATATTAATATATCTGAAAAATAGTTGGAGTCATTAATCAAGTTCTCACATGAAGTTCTGATATGATATTGTACCATATTTTTCTTAAGTTTTAACTCCGCAATCATAGTTTTCATATTGCTAATACCGTCCTCTTCTATGATATATTTCTAAGTAATATAAATTAATGTTTAAATTTTCATGTAGTTCGCTTACAACATTTGAAATAAAAATTCTTCAACAGATTTGGAAATAACGTTAATTCTCAAGCACATATTTTGAAAATGTTTATTCAAAGGTAGGAGGGAAGGAGAAGGTCATTGATTAGGAGGTGTGCAATAAACTTTGTAATTATTACGCGAGTTTAGTAACTTTTAGATGACGGCAGAGTTTAGTAAAATTTATATCTCCAGCGGTTTTTTTGATCATTTATTTTTAAGTCAACTGATAAGTGACTTAAAAGATGATGGCTACTGATTTCCATGGAAATCTGATATGCTAATTCAGTTGATTTGCTTTGGAAGGTTTGATCAATTTTCGTGAGAATATGGATATTGTTTGATTATTTATCGAAAAAAAATTTTGCTGCAAACTTAAATTTGCATTTTTGTGAAAGGCAAAGTTAAACAATTTGTCTTTTGTCTTTTCATTAGAAAAGAACAGAGAAATACAGCTGCTTGAAAATTTAGAATGATTGAAAAAATTTTTATTGAATGTTAAAAAGAAAAAGCAGAAAATTTGCAAATACACAAAGCTAAAGGAATTTCTTGAATTTACAAAGTGAAATTATATTGAAGAAAAAGAAATCTGTATTTGTTTGAAGAATGAACTTACGGCACACCTGAAATGACCTGCAAATGCTTTTGCTGCATTGTAAACACATTATAAATGCATGTGCATGCTATCTTAAAAGTGCAACGAAGTTTTCTCATTAATTTAAAGTTTTACAGACTGCTTTCATCCAGTAAAAAGAATTTATTACTTCTATTTTACTTTATGGCTAATGGCTATCAACAGTGTATGCTACAAAAACAATTTGCAAGTGAATGAAAGTATTGGCTGAAATGTCCTACAATCCTAACAGATCACTTGTAATGTAAATATTATGTGCATTAAGTTGCTTATCGTTTTAAATAGTAAATTAAGATGAATTAGAAAATGGTAATTTTTCATAGTAAAATATTAGAATATGAGATAACAACTGCATCAATTCCTTATATCATTTTATCCCTTCGTCATTGCTCCGTTTCAGTTACATTCATCATAAATATATCATTTGATAATACGGCCTGTTGATGTTTTCCAAAAAAGGTATATAGATTTTCCGCATCCTGAAAAACAACAATTTGATCAAAGCAATATTATATCGCAGAAAAGAAAGGAAGACAAAGTAATGTTGGAATACATCGAACTAATAGCTTAGTAATTCTGAAGAAAATTCCAATCAACCTTTTTATACTTTTGATATAATGCTTGTCCGCTGCGTTCAGCAGTTTCCATTTGTAACATTCGTAATACTTTAATGCTATCTATATAACACTGCAATTATGAAATTCTATTTCTCATTTATTTGAAATAATTTTAGTTTCCTAAAAAGTCCTATTTATTTTAAATAATTTTTAATTATAAATCGAAGTTAAAGAAGAAAGCGCAAGTGAAGAATTGCCGAAAATGGTAATGTGTAGCGATAGCTGCACTGAACTATCAAGCAATTTTGCAATACCATCAAGCCTTTAATTCTAATTAATCATATTAGCAAAATGAGGACTGCAATATTTTCTAAAATTTCATGAATAATTAATCAACTAATTATACCTGATCATTAATAAATTGAATTAACATTTATCAGACCTGATACATTTGTTTATGTTTCTTCGCTCTAATGATTGCATTATTTTGTAGCCAAGAAAATCGCAAAATACTTCCAATAAAGAATATTGTACATGTGGCAATAAATAATATAATGAGGATTGTATTGAATAATGATAATCCATAAACCACCTAGAAAAGAGAAAATCTTTACATAAACGAAATAATAATCGAAAGTTAAAAAAAAAAACAGTTAATTAGATAAAAGTATCTCATCCATGAAATTTAAGTATCCTAAACGCTTTTGAATTTAGAAGAGATCGCAATCAATTCAGTATATTTTAAACAAAGGAAATTAATGTGTGAGTGGTAAGATGCAACGATTGAAATTGAAAGTGACAATGAATTTTCTAATACTTTAAGATGACATCCTCAGAATTTCAAAATAACAATAGGTATTAACTATTTTAGCGTAAATCATTCTGTTCGTGTTATCGTTCACTTTCTCTAATCATAAATAAAATGATTCAAAAAATTTGTACCGTATTCTTGAAAGTACGGCTAGTTGTTAATTATATTACTATGTAATTATATAATAATGTAATTTGGCAACTGAGCGTTGAATAATTGATGAAAAAAAATTTACCTTAATCAATGATCGCATTTTATTTCGCTCTTAAAACATTCTATTAAAGTGTAGGAATATTTATAATTAATTAATTTATTGAATCCTTTCGTTTTATGCAAATTAATAAATCTATACGAGAACATACCATTGATTTCGTTGATATTAAAACTTTCCATTCATGTTGCAACAATAAATTACTATCCGCTGTATTTTTCAAAATCGATTGTGGAAAATTTTTGCTTACAATCTCAAACTTAGTAATGTTAGATGGAATTTTCAAAATTAGTACGGAAGCTGTTGTAAGCATTCGAAAGTTCCATTTTTGAATATCATTTTTCAATTAGTTTCTATAGTATCATTGCGAAAAAAAATGATCCACTTTGTTTCGGTCTAATATCTTCTTGCTTACAATAATTTGCTTATATAAATTTGAAATAATTTAAGATATACAGCGAGGAAATCCTGAAGCTCTTTTTTATCATTAAATGGTGATATGATATCGCTTCTATTGAAAAGCATTAACAAATTTGGTGATAAAACAATATGAATCTAAAAATGAATGTATATATTTTCAAATGATGAAATATGTGGAAAAGAATTTTTCTTAGTAAGAGCCAGAATCTGATACTATTAGAATCTGATATATAATTGACACCTTCCAACTCTGAACTAAGAACTTTGCTATTTATTTTAGTCCTTCTATAGCTGTGTGAATGCATTTATGTCAGGTAAATCCATCTTAGAGATTCGTTACTGGTACAGATAAGCCAAATAGTACCTCATCAAAATAAGCTCGAAGAATTTTGGCGCATAGAATTAAATAAGACAGACAGATATTATTATTTTTTGCATACATACAAACAAACTCAAAATACAATTTTTCCTAAATGAATGGCAAACGTGGAAGGGACCTATCCCACAAATTATGAAATAAAGAAAGAAAGAATTCACCGCCGGGCTTCTGGAATCACTAAATGTTAGATTGTGGGCGGTGAGAAATGAGACGGCCATCTTGTAATTTGAAATGTACAAAAATAAGAGCTTCATAAACAATTCTTTAATAAATATCAAAGAACGACACAATCCATAAAGGTTACTCCTCAATACAACAAGAGACAGGATAGTGCATACTGCCACACCTCAAAAGTAGGTTACGATGCTTCAGTGGTTTGAACTTTACAGTGGTGAACTACACGTGGTTAGAGTGGGAGAGGCATGGTTGCGTTCTCAGGTCTATCCTCGTTTCATGTTCGTGATGGCCTGGTCTTCTAATGGTAATATGCACTTGGCTTAGTAAAAAAAATTAAAACAGGCTTAATAGTCATCTCTTTCCAGTGATGTCTCTTCTCCTCTATATACCATTCAGGTTTCCACATATTATGTTCCATGTTGGCAGATATTTCGTCTTTAGAAATCTTTAATTTGTATTTTCGAGAACTAGTGAATTTTTTCGGTTTCTATTTTATTTACATTCTTCGCAGGTGCTGTTTGATCTTTGCTTTCCATGATGAACTGATTTGGTTTACATTTATTTTCACTGAAATTAAAGTTTTTGTTAAGTCTTCAGGTTGATGAACTAAGATCGACGGTAGTTCATGTTGCCCTTATCGTTATCGTCAGTTTTTCTATTCATCTCTTTCGTCCATGTTCATGTAAGCTTTGAAATTCCATTTCTAAAGAAAATGTTAGGAATATTGCAAGAGGTTGCGATTGCTATTGAGATAAGTAAAGCTGTTTGCGATATCCTTTTTCAGAGAGGTGAATTTAATTCTTCAAATTTGCCGTTCGGGAAGCTGAAGTGTAAAACGCACTGCTCTTGTGACCATACATAAATTAAACAAAATTCTATGTAGTGTTTATAAGACATGAATCGGCATGTAATGATTTCAGGGAAATTTCGAAGATGCTCGGTGTCGTTGTGTTTGTCCATCTACCAAATATTTTGCATCAGAAAATCATACAGTGAGTGAGGAGAGAAGATATTATACAAAATCAAATATTAACGCTCTTACATGGTGAAGCATTTTTGTTATATTTCATTAGGATTTTTTTGTTTTGGATTCTAATTTATTAGTGCTGCAAGTTTCATGAAAGTATAGTTTCATGAAAATTTTTGGAATTTCGTGAAATGCTGCATCATCAAGCTTCACATCACTAATAACTAGTCACAGAAAAGAAGAAAAAAGCGGCAAGGAGGGAATCCATATTTTATTTATCAAATTTTGATAGTTTCATGTGTTTGATATGAATTGTTTGGAGGACTTATCTTTAGTTTTGCAGCAAGCCACAAACAGTGGTGAAGCCGAACGTTTTAGAGATAGTGGATGCTGCACATTTGGATGCATTTTTAGCAAACTGTGATTGCAAGCATGAGTCGAGAAATACAGTTCTGCTGAAAGTATGTTCCGTCTTCCACTTTAAGAGTGAAGTTGAATATTTCTTCCATGTCTAGACTTGCTAATTTAAGTTAGAATTTGATTGTTTGCACTTCCAACTGCACAATTATCTACTTGTTGTGAGCTTTTTTCAGGTTGTTGTAATATTTGTTATTTGTGTAGTCTTCGTTTTGGTTACATATATGCTTTTCCTGATGTGTTTGGATCCCATGCTGCGCAAACAACGTCATTCAGTGCCATATAGACAGCAAAATGATGAGGTATATGAGTGTTTTAGGAGCTTTAATCGAGACTTGAGGATTTATCAAGATGTGACTGAAGTTATCATAAATTCCAAATTTCTATAGATATATTCTTTTACTTGAGTAAGATATTTTGTTACAGATGGAAGATAATATTTTTGCCAGAACGACACCAGCGAGTGAGCGGTTTTCAGATATTTCACCTTCAATTACGATGCGATCTCGGAACAGTAAGTTTCATGCAAACTTTAATGATCATAGTATCAGTCACTACATGTTTCACTGTCTCATAAGCATGAAATCTAAAAGTGCGTAAGAACGATTTAAAGAAAAAAATTGTAAATTGAAGGAGTGGTTAATCTTTCGTGATTAAAATCCATTAAAAGAGTAATTTTCCTCGGAGAATCATTATTTAAATTTAGTTACAGATAATGTTTTGGGACGAGTCGAAGCCGAGCAAAATCGTTGGATGCGAAAGGTTGAAGAACAGCGACGAAATATTTTCACGGATCATACTATGCTTAATTGATCGTTCCTTTTGTAAATTCATATTTCGACAGATTGATTTGAACTAGGATCGAATCTCTGACCTTGTAATTATTTGTAGATATTTTTTCTGACCTTGTAATTTTGTAGATATGCTGATTAACAAAAACTAAAATTGGAATTTTCGGAAGCTTGTATTTAATACCATCAGTTCGGAACGGTCTTATAAAGAATATTCTTATTAGAGAATAAATTCTGTTGACAAAAGCAATATTTCTTAAACGTAAGTTTTAGCCTTTCTTTTTCTGAGATTATTAAATCTTAATTATTTTATCGGTGACAATCATATATTGTTTGCAAATCGTAACTTCCGGTTTTGATTGCTGTGTATATTTTTTGCGCATATCTTATTTTCTTCTCTTCCACTTCTGCTTTGATTTTGCAGTGAACAAGAAATTATTTTCGTGGTCTTTGCTTGATTATGATGCAATACTTCACAAAATGAAGTGAAATGAAAGATTTTTGAATCCTTTAGAACGAGTTTGTTGACGTATGTCTATAGTGTGGCTCCCTACCCGGTTTAGTTTTCGGTGAAGATGTGTTTGGGAGCTGTTTATACTATATGCGGATATAAGCATAAACGATAAAGTTTCTTCTCATACGGCCTCTGCTGCTTAAATCGACGAGTTTTTTTTAGGCTGAAGATGGGGTGAAATCCTATACTTTAAATTTGTCCCCACATCTTTATTAAATCACCTGCTGGTTGGCGGAAATGTATTGGCATTTGAAAGATTGATAGGATAGTAGTGGCATGAGTCTTTCTTGATGTATTGCTACTTGAATGATTATGTTAAATGTTAGTATCAGTTACAGTATCATTTGTTAATTTTATATGCTATACT